CCCGTCGCTTCGCAGCTACCTGAACGGCGAAGGGTAGAGTGTGGGTTGATAGGCTGTAAGTGTCAGTGGCATGGGGTGATGGTCGGGGGCGCTGGCAGAAGGTGCCGCTGAGACTCTAGTAGTAACGAATGGCATGCTCGCTGATATGTTTGCAGAGAAGCTGAAAGCTGATGCGGAGGTCATACTTGAGAAGGGTGATCACGTCTTCAAGAGGGCTGCGTTCGTCCACAGGCTCGGTCAGCTGTACCACGTGAATAACAGGAGTATAGAACTTCATTCTAATGTGCTCCATCACCCAACGCGGTGCGCTGAAACGCACTGCCCGTCTACAGCAGCTCAACCACGGCATCACGCCTGAAGACGTAGTCCTGAATACTTTCGCTTGGCCACTCTCGAGATGCACGTGACGATAAACCTATCGTGAACCCTGTGTTTGAACACTGCATGTCAAGAAACATGACACCCGACTGGCTACCAGTGATGCACCACAACCCGAATCCCGTCTAGCAACAACAAGCAAGGGACAGACTCAAACCGAGGCAGCCACGGGCGAAAATTTGCATGCCCTGCGTCCACCACGAGGCGGCGGGTTGTTCTTGCGGCCCTCAATTGGCAGGGCCGGAGTAGCGGTAGACATACGTGACGTTTGTTTCGCGTCGGTAGTAGCGTCTCATCGGAGCAACCATAGCCGGCATGAAGCGAAGATTACAAATGTCTACCGCTACTCCACAATCGGAAGACAGCAATGGCTAAGAAGTGCAGAAACACCAAGGCGAAAACGAAAGAAACAATACAGGACGCAAGCAACCCACGGTACCATGCAGTGACGGAGTAGCGGTAGACATGTGTGATGTTTGTTTCATGTCGGTAGTGACCTCTTCACTGGGGAAGCTATTGCCGGCATGAAGCAAAGAGCGCAGATGTCTGATGGTACATCCGCCACCGGCATAGGGCAGCGAGCTAAAATACAGAAACATCGTAAGAAGAAAGGACAAAGAAAGACAGGAAGACAAACGCAAACATTACAAAGGGGAAAAAAATAGAAATATAACTGCAAGAAGTGGGGGGTGGGCGGGGGCGAAGCCAGTCCGTTCCAACCTTGTAACAGAGTCAGCCGTGAGCCATGGATGAAGGCAGGATGACGTTATAGCCGCTCCCCCCGAGGCACAACAACACCAAAAAAAAAATCCGGCAACCACGCCGCAGGGGCAACAGCCGGTATGTGTATGTTGGGGGTGGGCTGGGGGGTGGGGCGGGAGATTCAGGGTCTCCAGGAGACTCTCCCCTTAACACACGAAGAAAACACGCATTAGGGAACAGGAATGTCGAGGACGCAGGTGTGGGAACGCCCACGTCCAACTAAACAACAGGTGGGGCGATAAGGCTGGAGCGCGCAAGAGGCGTCCTTTGTAGTCAAAATCCGTTCGCACTAGACTACAAAGACGACAGCAAGCGAACGTCGACGAGCGGAAAATAACTGCAGGGTAGCGCACATAGAGGGGATATTCAAGAGAGAAACAAACATGGCAGCGAAACGCGAAACGCGAAACGCACGCCGTTGGGCCCAAGCCGCGGGGGGGGGGGGGTGAGACGACGTCTGGCAATCCCAGAAAACGAAGACACGCAAGGTCCAACCGGCGACCCGATATAGTGCACGCAGGCACCTCCTCCATCGTACACACTCTCCGAAAGCGCTTCAATACACCACACTGGCAGACGGACAAAAGACAAAACACAAGACACGAAGGACAAAGATGACGCCAGAGTACCTTTGAGGGGAGGCAGATGAACCACCTAGCTCTAGACTGGTCTCCAAGCCGGCTGCACGAAATTCGAACTGCCGCTCTTAATCCCTGTCCCAGCTCTCCGCCCCCCACGCTCTGGCCTCCGGAATAAGCCCCCCCGCCTAACCCCGACAGGACGCTTCTCATTGCCGCCAGCATCCGGGGCTCGACCGCCTCCCGTTCCACGCCCCCCAGTCACCCGGCCTCCCGAAGGCGCCCCCCTAAACCCGCCCGCACCCACCCGCGCTACTGGAGTCTGCTGCCTAGCCCCCTGTTCTCGCGAAAAACCTGGGAGAACAGCGGGAGGGGGTATTCCCACCGCAGGTGGGGCACCCGCCGGGGACGCCGCTGCGGCGGCAGCTGGCGCCGGAGCT